AGTCTTCAGGCACCTCCCCCATTCCCCAAGACCTCTCAAAGATGACAGAGAGCAGTTCAGCAATCACCTCCACCAGCTCCCTCAGCACCCGTGGATGCATTCCATCGGGTCCCATGGATTTATGAACATTGGTTCATTTGATTCATTATGAACATTGCCTAGGTGCTCTTGGACTGCCTCTTCCCTGACTAAAGGGAAGTCTTCCAGTTCACCAGACCCTCTCACTAACCTCCAGGGTCTGGGATTCCTAAGGGAGAGCTTTTTCACTGAAGAAGAAGCAAAGATGGCATTCAGTATCTCCACCTTCTCAGCATCCCCTGTTACCAGAACACCCCCCTCACTTAGGAGGGGAGCCACATTCCCCCTAGTCTTCCTTTTACTGTTAACATACTTAAAAAAGCCTTTTTTATTATCCTTTATCACCTTTGTCAGATTCAATTCTAGGCAGGCTTTAGCCTTCCTCGCCGCATCCGTGCAGGCCCTGACAACATTTCTATATTTTTCCCAAGAGGTCAGACCCTTTTTCCACATTTCATGGGCCTTCTTCTTCCCTTTGAGTTTGTGCACGAGCTCCTTGCTCATCCACACAGGCCTTCTGCCACCTTTTCCTGATTTCTTGCTCACAGGGATGCACTGATCCTGAATTTGGAAGGAGAGCTGTTTAAATGCCAACTAGCTCTCACAGGCCCCCTTACCTTCTAACACCCTAGCCCATGGGATAGCTCCAAGTAGGTCCCAGAAGAGATCAAAGTTAGCTCTCCTAAAGTCCAGGGTAGCAATCCTACTTCTTGCTTTGCTTCTTCCACTCAAGATCATGAATTCCACCATCTCATGGTCACTGCAACCCAAGCTGCCCCCGGCCTTTATTCCCTTGACAAGCCCTTCCTTATTAGTGAGAATAAGGTCCAGCAACACCCCTCCCCTCGTCGGTTCCTCTACCACCTACATCAGAAAGTTGTCTTCAACACATTGCAGGAACCGTCTGGACCGTGCGTGCCATGTTGCTTATCCAGCAAATATATGGATAATTGAAATCCCCCATAAGCACCAGTGCTTGGGATCATAACGCTGCTTCCAGTTGCTTATGGAAGGCCTCATCAACCTCCTCCTCCTGATCAGGGTGCCTGTAGTACACCCCCACAACAGTGTCAGCCATACCAGCCTGCCCCTTGATTCTCACCCACAAGCTCTCCACTGCTGCAGCACCCTCCCCCAGGTGGAGTTCAATACATTCTAGCTGTTCTCTCACATAAAGAGCAACTCTACCACCCCACCTCGCCAGCCGATTTTCCTAAAAAGCACATAGCCCTCCATGACAGCATTCCAGTCATGCAAGCTGTCCCACCACGTCTCCGTGATCGCAGTGAGATCATAGCCATGCGACCGCATGCAGATCTCCAACTCTTCCTGTTTATTTCCCATACTGTGCTCATTAGTGTACAGACGCTTCAGGGAAGCAGCATCCCCTGCCCCTCTCCCTCCCTATGAACTCCACCCTCATTACCCATCAGGCTCTGTTTTGAGCCTTGAACTATCCGCTCAACCCCAGTGGCCCTCATCTTGTCCCCTTCCCCCTTCTTACCTAGTTTAAACATCTTTCAATGAGTCCCGCCAGTTCCTGGGCTAGCATCCTTTTACCCCTTGCAGACAGGTGAGGTCCATCTGCAGCCATCATGCCAGGTGACGAGTAAATTGCCCCATGGTCAAAAAAAACAAAATTCTTGTGTTTGCGCCAACCTCTGAGCCATTTATTTATGAGGAGGGTTTTTTTGATCCTCTCAGTATCCTTTCCCGCCACTAAAGGGGTAGGAGAGAAAACCACCTGCATGCTTGCTCCATCAAGTACCCTCCTCAGTCCCTTGAAGTCATTTTTCATAGCCCTCAGGCTTCTCTCAGCAGCATCATCACTGCCAACCTGAACTATCAAAAAGGGATAGTAATCAGATGGGCGAATAAGACCAGGAAGCTTTCTAGAAATACCCCTGACCTGTGTCCTAGGGAGGCAGCACACTTTCCTACGAGTGGGGTCAGGGCTGACATATAGGGTCCTCTGTCCCAGTCATAAGGGAGTTGCCTATGACAGCCATCCTTCTTTCCTTCCAGGTGGAGGCAGTCTTGAGGCGTGGAGCCGACTGCTTCAGCCTCCCAGAATAGCCTCCCAGAATAGCTTCCCAGAATAGCTTCCCAGAATAGCTTCCCAGAACTCCTGGTGCTATCTAGGAAGGTTCAACACTTAGTGATAGTTTCAGAGAAGATTCATCAGAGTAAGGGACTCTAGCCAGGCTATTTTGCCTCTCACCGAGGGAACATCCCAAGGCTAGAATTTTGAGCTTTACAAGTTGACAAAAAAATGACTAGTCATATCCCAAACGGCTGTGTATGTTTGTGTCATCCTGCATCTTTGTCCTAGCGGGTTGGGTGATGAGCTTTTAGGTTTTTTTTAAGAATAAATGTTTTATAATTCTGCCTCCAGCATGTGACTGCTATCATCTGTTCTGCTTGCATGAGCATTTCAGTCCTGCTGTACCAATGCCAAAGACAATTTCAAACCTCTCAGCAATTCATGCCGCTTACAGCTTTAAGTTGTTGGCTTTCCATTGATGAAATGATGCAAAGTGTTCAAAGAGATCAAATGTCTGCCTAGTTTGGAGACTCCAGTGCTTGGTGCCCTTTTTTCTTTTTTGCTCCTCTACAGAGTCAGAAGTTAAACTGTGTCATAAGTGTAAACCATGTGTCACGTATGCCAGCTATAGTTTTATTAGAATGAAAATGTTCCCATTCATACGGCCCAGAGTCTCACATAGGTGAAAACAGTCAACACTGTTCCCACTTGTACCATTGCCATAAAAAATAAAGATTCAGCTTTCAAACTTCTTCCAGTGTGTTTGGCCTGTCCCTGCTCTCTGGAATCACCCAGGCTTTGGAGTTGTCAGGTGGAGCCATTCCTGTACAGAGTACACTAGTGACTGTATAAAAAGGTGGCATGTACATCTGAGCTCAGCTGCAAGCTCAGGTGCAGTGCACATGTTTGCTTTGCATAGCTCTCTACAAACCCATGTTCAAATGATCAGTATTTTTATAAACTCCCATTTAGAAATGTAGGTTATGTGTGCATGGCCTTGTAAGGTACCCAGGTAAAGTTAGGGAAATAAAATTCTGAAAATTGATGCTTGTAACTAACCAACCTTTCTCTCACAGGAATGCAGACCAGATGAAAGCTTACTGGAAAATATCTAGCATTTCAGAAAAATCTGAGAATGGAGGCAAGTTGAACTTTTTTTTATTCTACAGAAAAATGGTAACAATAAAATGTAATCATTGTAGCTTTTGCACCCTCATGCATGTATATACTTTATCTCATCTTGTATCCTGTTAACCAGTTCAACTTATTCTCAGTGAAGTTCCTCCTGAAAGATCTGTTAAAAGTGAGATGTTAAAATAAAATAGTTAATTATAAAAGGAAAATTGATGAAACCCTGGGAAGTTGTTAGCTCTAAAATAGATTTTAAACTGAGAAAGGAAATTACTGCGTCAATGCTGTTTGAAAATGAACAGTTTTTCAAAGAGAAAATACATTAAATACTTAATAAATTGTTTTTTTTCACACACTGACAATTGAGATGAAGTGGAAAGCATGGAAGATCTGGAATGAAAATGCTATGCTAAGACAGGCTCAACTACAGATTGTTCTTGACCAGCATTTTGAAGCTCTTTGTTTTGGCAAACAGCTCCAAAAAACAAATAAATAACAACAAAAAACCTGTGCTATATGCTCAGAGCAGTAACTTGTATAACATTATTTTGTAAAGAATCAGTAAATATCTTCTCTCCAGTTGCCTTTCCCTGAAGTCCATTTGATATCACAGTCCTTAGAACCTTTGTAGATATGATGTTTTTTTTGAATTTGAAAAGCAGGGACAAAAGGGAAGCCTGGGAAGGGAAGACTTCTGTTGCTGCAAAGACTGCAGATTTGTAGTGGTGATTCGAACAAAATTAGAGAGAATTTGATCTGCCAGAGGTTGTTGCTGTAGTATAGTGTACTTTAATCATTCAGTGACCTCACAGTTGTTTGCTTCCTGTCTTCAATCTGCTTTCTTATGTAGGAATAGCCTTCTCATTTTTCATTTTTGTTACCAAATCTTTTAAAAGAACAAAGTCGTGCTAAAACATGAATGCAGGCAGATGAAGAACTACTCCACACCTGCAGAGCAGCATAAAAAGGGCTCTCATTGACAACTTGTGTGTGTTCAGTAGATTTGAACATATCTCACTGGCTCTATGACTTTATCTTCTATTACTGACATCTTATTATTGAGCATAAGTACTTTGTACTCACAACCCAGTGAGAATATAATGCTATGAGAAGTTACAGAAGGGCTGTTACTATTAGGACAAATGGCTTGAAGTATGCTTTGTTCTGGTGTATATGGTGGTAAAATGTGTATTTTTTACAGTCCAACACATTATGTGAGCTGTGAATTGCAGACGTATAAAACACAAAGCCAACTTTGAAATACTTGAATATATGAGTATCGAGTTACCCAAACTGTGATACATCATTGAAGAAATGAAGTGGACTTTAAGGCAAATTTATCAGGAACAAGTCATTGCGTAAAACAATTTCATTCATTAATCCCTGTTTTTAACCCAGTAACATTTTAGTCACTAACTTTCCTCATCAATTAGCAGTTCCTACTGACTAGGAATAGCAAGTTATTTTAAAGAAGTAAAAATTCTGGACTTTTACTATTCCATTATTATTTAAACCTCATTTTATCCCCACTAGATAGTGCAAGAACAAGAAAACGCTTGCTTAAGAACTCAAAAATGGGAGAAATAACAGTGTTTTTTAATGCTCTCCTACAGAAGTATTACTAAAGTAATTAAGAACTATTATTGCTGTATAGCAACACTGAACTGAATTCACCACTGTCTGTAAAAAATCAACTGAAGTGTTTTGGGAAATGTATTTAGTCAGATCTTGTCTTTTTTAGAAAACTGAGATTTTCTTTCCTTACTGTTTTCTATAGGTTCTGGATCCCTCAGGGCAAAATTTGAACTTTCAGAAGGACCCAGTAAACCAGCAACACTTGCAGTGCAATTCATAAGTGAAGGAAGCACTCTTTCAGGAGTAGACATAGAGCTAGTAGGCACTGGCTATCGGCTTTCCCTCCTTAAGAAGAGATTTGCCACTGGTAAGATGTTGACATGTTTATATATTCAAATTAATACGACATATTCTGTAGTGCTGTATTATAGAACATTAAACTGTTGAACAGATGGTGCATAAATACTTACCTTTTCTTAAAACATGGCTGAAAACTGCTTCGTGGTTTTTTTCATTTCTCCATAGTTAGTCAAACTGCTCACAGGAAAATACTGACAGAATCTGTTTTATCAACTGACTACAAGAAAAACTCTGTCTTTATTTTTCAGGACGGTATATGGCAGACTGCTGATGAACCTGTGAAAGTCATGTCATTAAAGGAGTACAGGAAACCCACTCTGCCCCCTCTATTTTTCAAACACTATTTTCACATGCATTAATTTTTTTAAAATGTTGACCTACTTCGAGGCCAAACTACAGGACAGAAAATGCACTTTCAAAAGTCATTTTGCAGAGCTTGTATTACTTTATAATAGCACTGAAGTTAACTTCAACACTGTCTGTAAATGATCAACTGCAATATTGGGGAAACTTTGTTAAAATTCTGGTAAATTTATATAGAAGTCAAAATAGTAATCAATAGTTGTAATGAAAGTATGAAATTGTATGTTATACTGTAAACATTAAACATAAAAATGTAGGAGAGCAAGTAAGATTATTTGAGCTTTCCGTAATACTCATTTTTCAGATTCCTTAATTGCCAGTTTTTAAAGAAAACAGGGGCAAACTTTTATGTAGTTCTTCCATACACTTGTGCCATAAAAATATTTGAGTTAGAGATGTATAAAAAAATGTAACTTGATGCCCATGTATCATATATTATTAACGTGTATGTTGTTTTATATAGTGTTTTTTCTCCTAAGTGCAATGTGTTACAAAATTGCAAAAGACAGAAAAGATTTACTTCTGCAGTTAGTGAATTTTATGGGTGTTGTGATTGTTTGAATTAATGCTGTAGATTTAATTTATTTTTATATGAATTTCATAACATTTGTGCCTTTAAAAGAGCCTGTGCCTATCCAATTTGTTATTCATGTGCCTCACTTCCTCTTTCAAAGTTTGGCCATTCATGAAGAAAGTGTGGTGTCTGTATAATACAACTTCATAAAAATTCTTTTGATGGGGATTTAAAAGGGAGATCTGCAGAAGCTGGAGGTTGTTTTAAAGGAGATTAAAATAGTGGGTTACTCCCTCATGGGGTAATTGCAATAAATGCATCCATAGTAAAGGGAGATGCATCATGCAGGACTTTGGAATTTTGATATACTAACTTTAATGTCACCAAAGATGAGAATCTTGAAAGATGGTAACGCACGCTTTTAAAGGAAACCAGCATTTCCCTTTACATTGACTGCATTAAGTGCTTTTGGAATGATGTGAATGTAAACAGTACTTTGGGAGGAATATCATTTAAGAAGGGGATATTATGGCAGCAAGATGACTGTGCTGCCATTTCTATTGGTTTTACTTTTTCTCTGTAACTAGCAGTTTTAATATTTCTCTTCTATTCTTCTTGCCGCAGCCTAAGCACAGAAAAGTGACACGTTAGTAACATTTTTTAAAACAAATTACTAGTTTAGGAAATCTTTTATGTATTTGTATTATCAAATGATTTTTTTCAGTACAAAAATCAAAAGTATTGGGGCAAAGTAATTTAATAACCTTCAAGTGGGAGTTTTATATAAGTATTCTGAATACTGATATCTATTTCAAATTCTCTATTAAGACAGTAGAACTTGCTTGAATTAATTCATGCAAAACCAGTGGCGAATTGGACTGCTGAAGCTTTACAATAAATGAAGCTTTAGAGAGGCTACATAAAATCCAATGTATGCTATACACTTGGCAGATGAGATTTCCATTATTAGCTCTAAGGATATCTTGAACTTTACACCTGATTGGAAAAGTGTATCTGGCTTTTAATTCGGTGATCTTATTGAGTGGAGAATTTCTAACGGATATAAAATGGTACAGTCTTTTTACTGGAATCTTAATTGTAATCTGCTTTGCAATCAAACTATGTTGAATGTGACAACGTTTCACTAATGAAAACCCAGAACTGTATAGCTGCTCTTAATGAACTATCACTTCCATTTCTAAGTTAAATGAAGTAGCTACTTTTCAGCACTTTCAAACTAGTCTTCATTGGGGTGATTATAGATACATTTGCATTGGGTGCAGGTTACAATTTTGAAGCCATACAAGTTTATATAGACTTTTTGTAAAGCAATTCAAAAACAATGTAAAAAGTACATGTAGCAATCTGATGGGAAAGAGAAAAAGAACATGTAGCAAGCTGGTTCTTGCTTGTGTATACAGCAATTTCCTTCGTAGCTGCCTCTGAAAAAAATTGATTTGTAAACACAACTCTAAAGGATCTGAGTTTTTATGGATTATTACTACGTCAGACTGTAAATTAGAGCACACAAGTTTATCTTACAAAAATTGTAAATACTTCTGATTTTTCATAAAATGTAAATTTAAAAAATGTTGCACCCATAATAAACATGTAATATATAATTTAAACACTGATTTATATTGCTTATGCTTTTGCAGTCAATCCCATCGGGTTTCCAGGCGATAAAAAATATGATGAAACTGTGTCTGTTCTAAATGTTTGTCAAGTGTTAATTGATTTGTAAGTAATACATAGTAGAAGTAATATATGAACTGTTTTCTATACTTAAAAAACAATACAACAAAGCTGGGTGGAAAGACAACTTCTGCGAAGAGCTGCATCTTTACTGTGCTTGGGAAAATGTCTAAAATGTCTTGTGCCTTCACTAAATGGATATTAATAATTAGGATTAGGCAAAACTGCAGAGACGTCGCTCAGAAAAATATTGACTTTGTAGATGTGAGCTAACTGCTAACTGCTGTCTCTTAAGAGAGCTACCAAGTGCAGCACATTCCCTAACTTCCTATTAAGGAAGCATATATTTTGTCAACTGTACAGTTCCACAAAACAGGAGGTTATTTAAGTAATACTGTTTCCATGGTCTGAGAATAATTCGTCAGAGCTGCAAGGACAGAAAGAGAAGTTGGAGCTGAACAAACATATGTTAGGATCTGTTTCTTTCCCACTGGTCCCACAGTCTGTAACGTTTAATAAGTAATGACTTATTAAATTGACTTTCTCAGCTGGCTGGATATCATTTCAGTAAGTACCATTCTTGTCACGCTGGAAAGTAATAGTCCCAGGGTTTGATTATTATCTTCTGCTGCAAGATGGGAACGAAGAATGCAAGTGCCCTGTGGCCACTGCCCTGTGGCCTGAACAAATGTCCTAGCTCAGGACTCTGTCTTCAGCAAAAGCAGAATAGTGAATTGTGGCAAGGAGAACTTCAAAGCCTTTTGCTTTCTACTCACTCAGCATCTGCAGCCATTGGCTAGGGACATGAAAGGGTGCAGCTCTGCTCCGTCCTTCTAGTAGTCATTTAACTCACTGCCCTGGCATTTCTGTTAACATTTGACTTGTTACTGTAAGCCAGTGCCCAGATACTACTCAGAACTGGATTTATACTGCTCAAGCAGGGTTGTCATTATCAAAGTGCTTTATCAGGTAGTTTTGGGGGGATAATGGACTACTTTTACAACTGCCAAATAACATTTATGTAGAGAATTTGAAGAAGATAAATTATTTGATAATCAGCTGGAACTGTGGGAGTTACAGTATTGTGGGTTTTGCCATCTACTAGAAGAGAAGGTCTTGCATCATCCCTAAAAGCATTACATTTCAAGTTTCACATGTTTGAGAAGTTTAAGATGCATATCTTAATATCTGTGTACCTTTTGTTTTCTTGGCATTTGCTAGATAATTGGTTTCCATTTCAGTTGTCATGATAGGGTGGTTTTACCTTAGAGAACATAAGAAAAAATTCAAATTCCTGCAAGGACAGAGTAAGCTAAAAACAGTTCAAGGAACGAAAGCAGCAAATAGCACACTTACCACAGGGTGCCCTTGATGGGACTGACTTCCAGGACTCTCTATTGAAAACTTGATGTTTATCTACAGCTGTGCGTATTATTACACTACTGTGTATTCCTTCTCAATGCTGTTTGAGCTCCATGTTTCCTAATATGTTGATTTTTAAGTTCTCCTTTAACCAGTAAAAAGCATTCAGCCTTTAAAGAATAAAGTAATCCTAGAAACACCAGAGGCCTCTTCTGAAGTTACTACCCGGTTTCTGCTTTTCTTCATCTGCTTTCACTTCAATTTGAATCCATTATTTCTGGTTTTAAATCAGGGATGACTATTTTAATTATTATAACGTAAAGAATTATTTGTTTGCTATTGTCCTAGTTGTATTTCTTGCTAAAACTTTTGTTCTGTAACTTAGCATGTTTTTCATTTCCAAACCTCAGCTATTTAAAAACACTTATTGATGAAGGCATCAAATATAGAATCATACTTCATATTAAGCTGCCTGGCTGGATGGCAGAACCACAGAATCAGGGTTGGAAGGGACCTCAAGGACCATGAATCTCCAAACCCCCTGCCACAGGCAGTGCCACCAACCTCCCCATTTAATACTAGACCAGGCTGCCCAGGGCCCCATCCAATCTGGCTTTGAACACCTCCAGGGACGGGGCATCCACAGCCTCTCTGGGCAGCCTGTTCCAGTACCTCACCACTCTCTCTGTAAAGAACTTCCCCTGATATTCAACCTAAGTCTTTCCTCCCTCAACTTAAAACCATTTCCCCTTGTCCTGCTGTTAACCACATAATTCTGGCAAGCAAGTCCCATGACTTCATTGAATTTGTTGTTTATAGTCAGTTCAAACTAATTCTATAGGCAGGTGGTACTTCAAGGTCAACTTGAGATTTTGTTCATGCTTATAAAGCAACAAACCCATGACTGACATCTCTATGCTAACTAAAAACAACTGAACTCAGTTAGAACACAGCTTCACAATGCGCCAGCTGGGCAGCTTGGTACTGCCAAAACACAGAAGCTACGCTTCTCTTCACTCACCACACTTTGCACCAGCTCCAGCACGTTTTGTACCTTCCTGGGAGCCAACTCCACTCACCAACCAGACATAAATCAGATATACGCTAGGCTAGCCATCATCAGGGTCTGGCAAACACCTCATCTGAGAAGGGGCTGGGAATGAGATTTTGTTTTTGCAGCAACACATTGTACTCCTGGCTCAGATGCTCACTAAACCACAACCAGAGAGAACTGAAATCAGCCAGCTCAGGTGACATAATGGAAGACTTTTCTATATTCTATATAGCCACTATTAAGTGGCTATAAAACCAGAAGTTTTAAGTTGTCAGAGATTGATAAGAAAAACAAATAAGTGCTGGGGATAAGGAAGACCTTATGTAG